AGACCTTTATGCTAAGTCTTCTTTTTCATGCTGCATTTTTGAAAATTTGTCATTTTTCATACTTCAAAGAGACAATTCAAGTGTAGCAAGAAGTGCTAAAAATTGTTTTCAGCAAAAGTCATTATTAGATCATAAAAATTTAGTTGCCTTGGAAAGTATTATTTTAATAATCAAAACAGGAAATTTTTCCAAATTCAGGGGTTTAAAACAAAGAAATAGACTGAACGGTTTTATGAAATCGACGTTTCACAAACTTAAAGTTACTTGTCCTCCATTAGGCTTTCCGCTGATATGACGAACTGATTTGGTGCTTGCTCTAAGGGAAAATATGCATTATTATATCTCGGATCTGAAAAATATTATCCATGTTGTTCTCTAGGGATCGCGTAGCGAAACATTACACGCTTTCGTATATCGTCTGAACCGAAGCTTAAAACTTATGAAGGAGGAGTGGCAAATTCTAAAAATGCTTTGTAGAGGAAATTAAATTACGTCAGCAAATAGAGCAAAAATAATATTATTGCATTTTGTTAAAGTGAATAAGACATGGGAAATTCTAAAAAGTAGCGCCGTAGTTGAATTTTTGTTTTCCGATTCCTCTAAAAGAAAAATGACATTTAACACGGAAACTGGCCGGTACTGATTGGATGCAAATTTTAATAGATACATTCAGATTAGTCTTATGAACATAATTATTTAAATTATTTCTAGCTACTGCAAGAAGGAACAAATGATAGCGACAAGTAAATTAGTATGTCGCGAACCGGCTTTAACTGATTTTCAGGTTTGTAACAAATATGGCAACTTATCGCAAAAAATATTACGGAGCTAGTAAAACGCTTACCATTTTTTCGTGTGTCGTCAATGAAGCATAGCGAACTGTTCCTCGAAAACCTACCATCTCTCGCTGAGGACGATGGCTGCCGTTTTTTTCTTTGTATCGTCTTGACATACCAAAGTCAAGCAGGTAAAGCGTTCGACATTTATATGAATCATATCCTATTGCGAAATTAGACTAAAATGATACAAGTGAATCATTAAGTCAACACTTGAAAATAAAACTAGTGCTTCCGTCAGTCATATTTGTTGTCAAACTAAATAAAATAATTTTCTCTTATCCGTATAACAAAACGTTAAAATAACAGATAGAATATTTCTATTCGATATTATTCATAAATGACATTTATAATGAGAGAAATGTTATGACAAGAATATAAAGGGGATTTAAATGTAAGCATAAAGCAACGTTCTGGCTCAGTGACTGCTCATTCACATGTAAGACAACAGCCTGAGCAAGACACAAACATCCATTATTGAAACGGTCAGTAGTGCGATAAAAATCAGTGTGTTGCAAAGCTTTTAATTTTTTCGGGAAACAGTTTTGAGCGCACTTCTGCTTATATTATTGAAAGCAAGTCGAACAATGGCGAATCTTTTGGCAACCACTTCGATGGGTCTTGGACATTAATCCCTAAA